AAACTGGTGGGGGTGTGGTGGGGCTGATACCAAGAGCTCAATAGAAAATAAGTGTCCAGAAAATAATGATGGCAACATATGTATAAATGCTGACTACAATTTATTTATGGATTGTTACAAGAGCCATAAGAGCCCTCAATAAAATGTTATTTAAGAAAAAAGACATAGTAAGAAACCATCTGGCCCTACTCTGATATTCTCCTTTTCTCTGCAGGAAACAACGCAGGCAATCGCTATGTGCCAGGCGGCGGGGGCACCGGGAGTGTTGGGGTCGGGCAGCCCTGGCAGTTTGGTGGAGGCATAAGCAGCATCTCTTACTGTAACCAAGGATGTGCGAATTCCTGGCTTGCTGACAAGTTCTGTGACCAAGCCTGCAATGTCCTGTCCTGTGGGTTTGATGCTGGCGACTGCGGACAAGGTATGCTCGTTGCCAGCAGATGCATTAACAATAGGGGATTAGACACTTTGGCTGAGTGGAGTGGCTCTGGGTGGTGGTCACGTGATGGATATTATTCAGTCATTCTGTGTGTGTATACCCGTCTGTTTCCTCGTGCAGATTACACAGCTTTCCCAAATAAAAATGTATTGTTCTACAGTCTAAGAGGCTACACGTCTGAATTCAGGGCCTGGCCTCCTGGGGCAGATTCTCTCTGTCAGCTCTAAGGAAAGATCCAGAAGGTCCTTCTGTAGCCCTGGTGTGGTGGTCTTCAGTTCCTTGGCAGTCTATCCGCCCCACCCCCCGCCCATTTGTGCTTGCTTGATTCTCTGTCTGATCTGTTCATTTTGTAGCTCAGAAGTGATGAGGTTTTTGGATACACCGCACACTGCTGATAATCTCATTTACAGACCCAAGGAAGGCCTATTCCTAAACAGATGTAAGAGTTTGGATTCCGACACATGTTCTGGGAGGGTGCAATTTAATCCATAACAGTGCCCTTCCCAGCCTTGCATCCAGACCAGTTGTAAGATAAAAACAAGAGAAAGCAGGTCTTTAGAAAAGAGCAGACCATGGCATGCTAGCTTTTCCTGTTAGGACTACCGCCAGATATTTCTGAACAAGCACATTGCCTGAGTTGAAAATAGACAGTGGGAGTTTAATTTCAAAATGACCAGAGGACAACAGTGCATTCAGAAGGAGGCTGGCTCTTGTTGAAGGGCTTTCAATGGAGGTCATTTGGACAGAAGTTTATACTTTTTCAAATGGGTAAAAAGATGGAAGTCGACCCACTGGCGCTTTGTGTCAAGAACCGTGTCCCCGTGGTGAGTCAGAAGCAGCCTTCTTTGTTCACGGCCACGACTGCCCCAGATAACAGCTATTCCATTACATGTCCTCATTTGTAGTCAGTTTTAGAAAGTGAAACCGCAGGGTAATTTTTCAAAGGAGGAAAAATGCCCCCTCCCCGCTTTTTAAAAAGAAACTCATGCTTGTATGTTTTTCTTCCAGATCATTTTCACGAATTATATAAAGTCACACTTCTCCCAAACCAGACTCACTACGTTCTTCCAAAGGGTGAGCACCTGCCGTACTTCAGCTTCGCCGAAATCGCCAAGAGAGCACTCGAAGGGGCCTACGGTGACAATCCC